CCTACTTCTATCATGTAAACAGAAAAGACATTTTTATTTTTATTTTTTTGAATAAAAATAAAAATGTATCATATAAAACAGATATAGAGTAATCAATGAACTATCCAAAAAGCCTGAGCTTTTACATGTAAATGTGCAATGTCATTTAGGAAATGAACAAAGTTTAAGTATTTTGCAAATGAAATCATGCACATGTATACCTCAAACCTTATATATATATATATATATATATATATATCTTGTAATCTAAATCTACATGGGGTTCATTGTAAAAAATATTTGAATAATCGTAATTGGTGTATTCTGGGTGCAAGGATGAGGTAATTATGCTTCCAATGGTGGAACACAATGAATTGTAATGGTGCTCTGTGAAAATATAAAATAAATAAATAGAATTATTATAAAAATTGCACAATAATTACTAACACATATTCATTGCCATTAAATGTTACTAGAGGTAAAATTTAGCATCATTAATAGAGGGAATAAAGTATGTATGAATAATACTCTTTGAAAATCATAGCAAGGCATTGGAGCAATATGCACACACACACACTCTTTCAACTATTTGCAAAATTGAGAGAGGTTAACAATTGACCAGGACTGTCCTCACCCTGCTAACCAGTCTTACCCCAATTGCTCCAAGCTTTGGGGAGGAAAGATGGCAAAGATAGGGAAGAAGAAAAATCAAGCAAAAGAAGGACTGGAAGATCTAATAAGTAAAGTAAAAAAGTATGAAGAAAAAGAGAGAAAGAAATAGAAACTTCCTGCATGACACAAGTTTTCACTTTCACTTCCATTGCAGAACTTACTAAGTTGCCACCCCCATGCCCATGCATGAATGCACACACACACACACAGAAAGATGCCCTAATCATGTATGACAAATGTCCCATTTTCTCTTCGATATGTGCACTGCATCAGCACACACACTGCCCTAATGGCATACAATGTTGCCAAGTGGGAAGAGATTCTTCCTTAGTTCTATCTCCCTTTACTGTGTGGCCATTTGCAGTAGCAATTGTGAGAACATCCTCATTCATTCTCATCACTAAAGCTTGGTATGTTTGCTTAGAGTTTAAGCCCATATCCAGTTTGCAATTGTTACTGGTTAGTAGCATCCATGTGAAAAAAATCACTCTAACAAATACTGGTCTGTAATTGTGGTACATTGGCATAGTGATTGAACAGATATTCAACTTTTTTGGTGTCAATACATTGAGGAGAACTTATACCCTAATTTTGTTTCCCTAAATGTGTGCTTGACTAGCCCCAGTATAGCATGAAGTTGATTTAATATATGATGACAATTTTTTTTATTATTATTACTATTTTCCCCTATTCTCTTTATTGGGTGGCAATGATCTCTTGACCTAACTTAGTGGACCCAGGTGGTGTTCCATAGATACAATAGACATGGCCATTGCAGCTTATGAAGGTGTATATAATTCTTGCAATTATGTATATTCTCTTAGAATAAGTTTTTTTCTGTGATATTTATGTATGTCATGGTCAAGTTTGGTGTCTGCCTCACATTTTTCCCAGTTGCCTTCTATTAGGTGAAGCTTAGAGAATATAGAGTTTCAATGAGGAGCATGTGTGTGAATGAAGATGGGAGTTCAATAAAAATGATGTGGTCATGTAAAATAGAACAGTTGCCTTTTAACTGTTTTCTGTTTTAGAGAGAGAAAGAGAGAAGGTACATAATGATTGAAGCAAACTTTTTATTCTTTTACCTCTTTGCTAAGAAGTTATGATCTATGCAACAAGGTTATTTTACATACAACAAGTTATTTTAAGTACCCTAAGGTGGGCGTGAATGAAAATGTATGTGCCTGTATTTTTGCATACATTCTTAAATTGAACAATTTAGTAAATTTTGCAAAGATTGTTGCATGACATGCAAGAAAAGGCTTTTGCTTTGCACAAGACTTTTGGTATCATGGTTATTTGAAAACAAAATAAAAGAAGATAATGAAGAATCAGGGATGAATGTATACACAATACACCAATTACTGGGTGAATGGTTGAATATGAACATGGATGGATGGATGCAAGCTACCATATACAATTTTTACCCGTCTTACATTTGAAACACTACTACCAAAATAATGTCAAATTATGTAATGATATATTGACTGAAAAATGAAGATCCAGCATATCATGGATAGTAGGGACTTCATAGTTGTTTTTTCCTTCTTATTCTGTAGTTTACTTTGAAGGATGTTTAGAGAAAGAATATCAAATCAAAACATGTTACAATAAAACATGGAACCCCATAGATCAAGTACCATAGTTGAGATGTTATAAATTTCCTTTTTCTTCCTTTGTTTTCCTATATTGAAAACCAATGTCTATATTTAGCTACAACTATGCTTCAAGGCCAATTTTCTTGTGGCTTTCAAAATTTTCAGGTTGGCATTGTGTATTTACATGGTTTGAAGCAACAAGTAAGTCCATAAGGGGGGGCATGAATGGTAATGGTTTTCACATCAATGTTTTATATTTGTAAAAAGAATTATTGCTCTGGTGGACATGTGTGAGAGTTGTGGGGGAAATGTAGCATGCCTATCTTTATTTCACCCAGATGGGTAATCAGTGTTAAATAACTTTGCAATGGATGGTATAAACTCTACTTATTTGTGGCATAGTGGATGTGGTGTGTACTTGATGATAGGTTGCTATATAATACTTGTGTTGCATCTTCCCATTGTCCTTCAAAGCATGCTTTTCTGTAAGGCATGCAGCAGGCAGTGTGCCCAATATCTAAATAAGCAGCTTGTGTGAGTAGCTTGGGGAAAGATCCAATGCCAAACTGGGACTCTATCTAATAGTTAAGTTGTAGAAACATATAAGCTAAGCTAATCTGGGGGGAGGGAGGGTGCTAAAATATAAAGGTGTGGGCAATGATAAATAATCACTTCCTTGAATCTGGCAAAGAGGATTTCAAGATTAGGGGTAATCACTAGATGGACAATTCTATTACAGAGCAAGGGGGGGGATACCCTTGAGAAGATCATGAATGATATACTGTAACCAGGGACCACAAGGCATGAAGTGAATGGTACCAGGGGAGGTGAAGGACTCCTCTACTTATAACCCAACATCATTCCATTGTCATTTTCCAAGCATGAAGCACCAGCATGCCTGACCTGCATTGAATGAAACTGGGCTTTCCCACACAAGTCTTTCAAAATCCAAGGGCATGCTCCAATGACCACATCTCCCTCCATTAGCAACAATAGGCCTTACACCACCATTCCCTCCAAATCTCGCCAAAACACGTTCCTCATTGTCGTTGACCCTCTGGCACATGGATAAGAGTAAAGCTCCAGATGAATGAAGTTGTCAATTCCCAATGCTGATGCCACTGTGGGTGTGTGTGTGTGTGTTCCCTGCCCTCTTGGTTGCAAAGGAAAGGGAACAAAATGGGAGAGGATATGGAACTTGTGTTGGAAGAAGACGGATTACCCGCCAAAGTTAATCATGGAAGAAATGGAGGGAACAAAGCTGGGTGGACAGATAGCCTGTGTTGAAAGTTTCCCGGGGTTTCTTGTGGCTGGCTTTTCTGTCATTGTGACTCATTTTCATGCGCTTCGTGCCAGGTAGACAATGGATCCTCTCGATAGCAGTACATAGCTGTTGAAAAGGTGTGACTATCTATATGCTGATTGAATGTGATTGATAATGCCAAAATTGGGATTGATTCTGGGGTTGAAGTATATAGCTGTTGGACCAGGAAGACACTCACTGGGTCTTCTCCCCACTCTGAAACAGAGGTAACCCAATTTGGACTTGGTTAATTAATCATATGAAATGGATTTCTCTTATGTGTAAAGCTCTGCCCAATAGACAGAGATTTTGTTGCAATATTTGTGGTTATCAAGGACATCTAGAGTATATAAAAAAAAAGGCAGGATATTTATCTCATGCTTTTTGTGACATACACATGCCTGAATGATTGTGCATATATGCACATGCATAAACATACATATATTTGTATATTACTCGAGATTGGACAATGAGAATGTACTCTGTCTTCTTTCAGGATCCCTAAGTACCAAAGTTTTTATCTTTACATAAAGTCAACAAAGTTAATATCAGACCTTCAGCAGGTTCAGTGACTTGCAGGGGAGTAGACATCCATCCACATGCAAGTTGAAGCTCAAAAGCAATTACATGCAGTCTGGGAGAGAGTCAAAATTAAACCACATTGTTCCAATAAACTAAGTACCTGTAGACAGTTTTCAATGCCCATGAATGGCACAGCAACAAATGTCAACAGCCCATTTGATAGGGCCACACTGTAAAATAATGCCCTGCATATGGTAGAATCAGGAACCCCCATGAATTCTTCCACCAGAGTCTAAATCTGCCCAAACCAAGTCATTAAACAAATGTAGTAGGAACTTCCTTAATGACCCCCCCCCCACAGAAAAAGAGACAGAAACTCAACAACAATAACTTAACAGTGGCAGGGATTGATGATGAGAGCGTGGTGGGGGCAGCAGCAGCAGCAGCTCTGATCCGATCCCCCTGGTAACTTACTGGAAGAGGCTCTACCACCAACAACAAAGTGCTACTAGGCTGATAGAGTTTGGCAGCAATAAATCTGGCGGGTAAATATGATCATCCACGGAATCCACAGCCCGGGAAAGGGAGGGAGAGATGTGGAGGGAAGGGAATGGATTGGGGTTGTGGAAGCACGCGCCAGGTGGTTGACAGTACCGCAAGCAGAGGAGAACATTTCCCTCGCAGAGCAGCAAATATGGCGCCAGCGTGATGGCGGGACAACGGCCCTCTTCATGAACGAAGCTCGTTCAAGGCTGCTGCGAGTTCACGTCGTCGAGTATGAATGACATCGAGCGGGTGCTGATGTTTCCCATCGGCTGAGCACTTCAATCCAGGGTAGTGTGAGTTGAGTCTCATTCATTCATCATGGCTATGTTTGGAGAGATGGTCCTAAATATCTGGAATAACCAATCTGGCCTACCCATCGGCGGTCTCCAGTTTAGGGGAGAGTGGCAGAGTTCATCCTGAGCGACGCAGGGGGAGCGATGGGCAGTGGATTGTGTGCGTCTGCTCGACGACTGCAGTACATTGCAGCGATGGGCGCTCTGTGACTCCTACAGGATGTCTCGTTGCCTCTATTCTATCCCGTCTGCCTCTATTTCAATACTCTACTTGTGAGAGCATACTATTCCTCCACTTCCATCACTTCTCCCTCACTCTCTCCCTCTCTCTGCGCCTCTCCGTGTTTTTGCAACAGGTTTGCCGTCCATCTAGTCGGCTTTTTGCTTCCCCGTCGGGTGTGGTCTTTCTGTTTCGTTTTGACAACCTTCTGCAACTTGGCACCACAGTGAAGGTTATAGCCGTTTTGCCGGAGTGGGAGTGTCGCGGTGGAGTCTGAGTGGGGTGTGGGGGTGAAAAGTGAGAACTAAGATTGGGCTCAGGTCGAGGCTATGCTGCTAAAGAGGGCAATTTTACTGTAAGCCTGGCTGTATTTCATGCATGAAGTGGTCCGACGGTAGAAGGTTCTGGGGCCTCCAGCAGGATGTCGCCCAGTGTTGATTGTGTCGCGAGCTTGTACTGTGCGGAGGATGTAAGTGCCGCTACGTGGGGCGATGAAGATAGTGGGAAATGTGCATACTTGGAGTCGGTGTCCGAGCTCCAACCTACTGTGTTTCTAGATTTCTCTGTGGAAGACGATGACGCCGTCTCGACACTGCTCCTGAAGGAGGCACAGTACATGCCGGAGCCCGATTACTCGGAGCGGTACCACAGTCGAGAGCTCAGCAATGGAGCTCGTCTGGACGCTGTCCGATGGATTCAGAAGGTGACCAACTTTACTAAAACTTGTTCTTTGTATTACCAGCCCGTATTGGAAGTGCCGATCTCTTGTGGCCTTGGTAACTTGCTGGTCTCTGCACGGGACAATTCCCGAGGCTTGTTCGTCACGGTCATCAAATGATCCGTCGTCTGGGAGTTCCGAGTTACGTTGTATGAGAGTTTGAAGTCTGTTCAAGAAATGACTTACGAGTTGCATTGTGTCGCATAGGTCCAGGCTTTCTACAATTACAGTCCCTTGACTGTCGCCCTGGCCGTAAACTATATGGATCGCTTCCTATCTCGTCATCACCTTCCGGTACATCCAACTTCCTTGCTGGTTTCCCCTTCTCACGAATTGTCCGGTATTTGAGACGAGTGCCGGTACTGAGAGAACTTCCTCGAGTATTGACGTTCATTGACGTCCACCCTTGCAGGAAGGGAAGGATTGGATGCTGCAGCTCTTGTCTGTGTCGTGTATATCTCTTGCTGCAAAGATGGAAGAATCAGAGGTTCCGATTCTTCTGGACTTGCAGGTAGGTTCTTGAGGATCTTTACCTAACGATGTTTTTTACGGAATATTACGTCAAATGCGCTCCGCTGATCGCTTCAGCATGCACGCAGGTTGAGCAGCAGGAGCACATCTTTGAAGCTCACACTATCCAAAGAATGGAGCTTCTCGTACTGTCCACCCTAGAATGGCGGATGAGCGTAGTGACACCGTTTTCCTACATAGACTATTTTTTCCATAAGCTTGGTATCAGCGAATTACTGCTGCGAGCTCTCCTTTCCCGAGTTAGCGAAATTATTATGAAAGCTATTGAGGGTAAGTGTGCATGCCCGTCTGCATTGTCCAGATTCATGGTCAGCAACTCTTCTGCAACCGAATTTAGGTTTTCGATTCCTACATTGACTTTCGTACAACGCGTTGCAGATACAACCTTCCTCCAGTATTTACCCTCCGTTGTTGCGGCGGCTTCGTTAATATTCTCACTAGAAGAAGTGACGGCTCTTCACACCGACGATCTAATTCGAATCTTTAGCGACTTGTCCGTCGATGTGGTAAGCGCGCCGAGCCATGTGCACTTCCACGCCGAAGACTGCTCATTGAGAATCGCTGTGTATGGTAGCTGATGTTGACCCGGTCTGTGCAGGACGCGATTAAGGACTGTTACCACGACATGCAGGTAGCTGTGATGGATCCTTACTGCCAGGGTCCCTCTTTGAAGCGGAAGGCTCTGCGTGGATCGGAACCGCAGAGCCCTATTGGAGTACTAGAGGCGGCTGCTTTGAGCTCCGCCACTGAAGGTACCTTAGGATTCTCGTCTCGCGAGTCTAGCCCGGGCATCTGTGACTTGCCACCCTCAACCTTTCCTCAGCGCAAACGTCGGAAGTTGTCGCTTGATGACGACACTTCGACATTGTTAGAGAGAACCCACCTATGAAGCCAGCTTAGAAGACAGCGGTCGTGTACCAACGGACCTGTGCGTCGGTTTCGACAGCTCTACTGTGTGATGACCTCATCAAGCTGCTTGCTGCGAGCGTAAGCAGTGTACCGTTGGATTGCATCTTCATCTATTCATAAGGGTTTTGATGAGAAGCTCAAAGCAAAACCCTAATTTGGCGACAAGTACAATACTATAGCCAGTTAGTATTTATCACAATCGTGTTTTCAGTGCGGTGAGTGGTCTATTCCTACTCCCATATGTGAGCATTCTTTAGCAGATGTGTCAACCACATCTGTTCCTACATGAAAATAAGAAAAAAAATACAAATTATAGAATACTGTCTCCAAATCCCTTTCCCAATCTCGTTCTTCTGTATTGACTTTCGTTAAGCCTAAAGTACACTTCAAATAGAACGGTCGTAATCAAAATGCACACTGATGGACCCGTTTAAACCTTTTCACAACCACAATATCTCATGATCTCCTAAAAGAAAAGTAATCAAAACCTAAAAATTTGCCCTAAATTCGTGTATATCCTTCAACCTCATTATGGCAGGCGTGGCAAGTTAACCGTTAACGTGCCAAGCAGCAGGCCATCAAACCCCACGCAGTTGAATCGTGGGACACAAATCCCAACACTCGTAGACAAACATACTAATACTGTGCCCAGCATCCTCCCCAACGTCGTCGTACACTGTACCTCTATGATATCTCTCCTCTCAATGTCAAATACATCGACATGAACGCTATTTCACACGCCGTATTTTACGATGTCTAGCTTGGCGTACACATCAAATGGGACAGTACCGAATCGATGGAAGTTGATGACTCTGCTGTCTAACCCGATTGTCTGAGCTCGAAGATTTGCGACGGACGTATTGAATGGAACACCAAGTTCCTGATTGGAGTAAGTCCCTGTATTTTGACCCCCCCCCCCCCCCCGCCTTTACTGACGCCCTGATCCATACTGAATCCGTAGCCGAAAGTAGACGAATGCATTTGATGATTGATATTAGGTTTTGCAAGCCAACATGAATCCTACATGTATATTCATACTCTCTTCTTCTGTCGTACTTGACGAATGTAGACCAAGTTGGTCGACGAATATTCAACTCTCTTGCCTAAAGCATCACATGAATATCTTCAAATAGTCACTTGGGGCACCTTCCGTTGAATTGCATAAGGTTTGGATCCTGTTTGTACTCTTTAAAAAGCCTCCTGGGAAGGGTGATTTACCTAAGTTTAGATTCGGATACTGTTACAGTGAGGATTGTGGTGGTCAGATTCCACGCAACTGGATGTCATGTCCTCCGATAAAACAGGCAAAAAAATGCTTCTTAGTGTTCCTGCACAAAGCAGCAGAAAAAACGTAAGACCGCCATTCAGAGTAGGTTTTTATTGTTCATATTTTTAACATCTTTTGACATGCCCCCACTTTATTTGGCGAAAATGCAAGTACCCCTTGTGTTGATCAACTGGGGATATACTGTGGCCACGAACATCTCCCTTTTTTGATTCACATGTAGTTTTTTTTTGTTTAATTTTTTTGCTGTAAAATCAAACTTTGTTCATGCTTCTAGAAAAGGAAAACAGAAGGGAATCTTAAGGAGCACAGAAGTTTGACCCTCTGGAAACCTGGAATGTTTCTTATTTGATTCTTTGATTATGATTTGAAAGGTATAAACTAATATTAAAAACGTATTTTTAATGTGAGTTATTAATGCTTTTCAATTACTTTGTTTTATTCAAGTGAGCTGAGAAAGTCTAAGAAACTTGCACTGCCAGAAGGGGGGGCCAGAATGGATGCAAAAAGCTGAACATGCTCTGAACAAGAAGGGCAGGAAATGATAATGCCATGCCCTTGTACAAGTTTCACTCAAAATAAGAACTTTTTAAATATTTTATTTTATTGTTTGTATTTTCTGAATCTTTTCTTCCAAGTAAGATGTGAGCATTCTTTCCAACCTTTGTTGGGTTCTTCATGCTCTCCTTTTATTTTTCTTTTTTTAAATTTTTTTATTTCTGTGCATGGCACTGTTAGGGAGGTTCACTCAACAATTCAAAAAAACAAATTGAAAAATGAAAAATGCAAAATAAAACAAGAAATGAAAAAATAATCCAGTGGGAACTACGGAGCTGGAGTTTGTTGTTGTTGTTGTTGTTGTCGTCGTCATTGTCTATTATTTTATTTTTTAATGAACAATTCCAAAAAACAATTTTTTTTATCATGTTTGTTTGTTATTGTTCTTTTTTGAAATTTGTATATCTTTTACATACTATTAATAAGAATGGAACTTCAACATGACCAGTAACTTCTGTGTCCCTGGAGCCATCACAGCCAGGGACCCATTTACCCACACAGCAGATTTCACCACTTCCCTCACTCACTCTCTCACTCTCTGTCTGTCTATCTCTTCACCGTGTGTCAGCAGCATTGAATCACCACTACTATCCAACATTTTATGAGAAGAAGGGGCATGCCTGCTACACCCCGGCACAGCAACCACACTTGAAGAAAAGAAAAAGGAGAGAAGAGGAAAACAAATATGTATATAATCAATTAAAGAGCAGGCAAGCAGGGTGACAGGTTCCTGACTCTCCTCTCTCCTCAACGCAGCAGCAGCAATGCTACCACTACTCTCTATTACTCTTATGTTAATTTATTTACTTGTCTATTTTACTTTTTTTCCTTTCATCTTGATGAAGACACATCACCTTAATTCAATCACCCAAGGGAGACATCAAGTCTTTTGATAAAATCTAACCTGGTGAGTGGTAAATTCTCCCTCCCTTGCAAGTACTCTTGCTACTCCTGCAATCACTCACACCCACCATTGCTGAGGAGGAGCATGGATGGATGGATTAAGAGACGAAGGAACGAATGGAGGGCAACATTGCTACTGCTACTTCTATGGCCTTGATTGCTCTCTTGTAGTAGAATAGGCAAATATATATATATATATATATATACATACATAGAATGAGTGTGAAATCCAGTCCTCTTTCTCAAGGTGGCAACCTCCTCCCCCTCCCCCTTTTTAACTCAACCTAGCCACTCTATTTATTTATTTATTTATTTCACCCCACAAGTATGAGTATGTACAAAAAGCATGTGGGGATCAGTGAGGCCATCATTTCTATAACTCCATGCCCCTGCAAAGCCACCCCTGCGTGAGGGTTTACAGAGTACACACACTCACACATAAATATATATATATATATATATATGTACAAGTGTATATACATGCATGCATATCTAGAATCAGACTTGTATTCTTTAGTTTCTGAGTGATGTGAAGAGGAGACAAATGCAGGCAAGATGTTGGTGATCAGCTTCATGTGAAGTGAGCACCTCACAATGCAGTGCAAGTTTTTACCTTGTCTTATGCTCTGTTTTCCAGTAGGCTTTGTACACCATTAGGTTTACAGAACCCTCACACTCCCCTCCCCTCCTATCTGTTTATCCATTAAAAAAATCATGGTGAAAGATAACCATTTTAAAAGAGAATTAAAGGATCTACTCTCTTTTCTTCCCAACCAAGTGCATTTAGTTCCTTGACAAAAAAGATAATGTTTGTATGGTTATTCACCAGGAATGACCTAAAATCAGGGCAGTTTTTGGTGTTTTAGGTTGATTGTATGACATGTTTAATAGTGTATAAGCTGCTGCTGCTTTTTCTTGTATTCTCTTTATATATATATATAGATATATATATATATATATATATAGGGTATCATTGCTTCCAAGATATTATAGATTTACTTGCACATTGAAGTTTGGCAGTTGTAGTGTTGATTAGGTGACTTGTTCATTTGTCCAAAAAAAAGAAAACCTTCCATGAACTTTGAAAGTGAACTACTAGGTAGTATTTTATTTTTATTTTTATTTTTTCCACTTGGTTCTGGGAAAATTGCATATAGCTATAAGCGCATTTCTATAAGATCTGAATGAAAATTTGGATATGCAATCATTTTTCTTTTTAGTTTAAAAATTTGGATTTTTTGTGTTTGGAATTGATTAATAAACTAGGAAAACATCGTCCACAAACAAACACATGCTCTTCGATAAATAAATAAGAGGATATACAAGAGATAGTGTAATAGCTGTTAATAACAGCGTATAATCTTTGGTGTTTTTGTTGCCTGCAAAATGAGATTAAATCACTACAAATTTTGATTTCAAATCATATATATTTATATATATATATATATATATATATATATATATATTTTTTTTTGGTTGCATAAAATGTAATCCATGCTTTGATATGGAATCAACGGATGGATAATACACATTGAAATTCTTTTTACAATTTTTTTCTTGAAATCAAACCAAGGAGATAAATGTATTTTAAGATATAGATAGAATAAGAAAATAAAATGTTCAAATAACCATTTATATTGGCACAATTACAAGACTTGATCATTTATCAAAAAGGATAAATAATAAAATTTTATACTGATGAAAAGATGATTGATATGTTACTACAAAATTTTATCAAAAAAATAAAAATAAATTAAATAATCAAATCATTTGCAGTTTTTTTTTGCAGAGACATATTTTTGAAAAAATCCATGTATCAAGTTATTGCGTTTTCGTACAATGTGGTTTTAAATATTGAAGAAACACAATTTTAAAAAAAAGCATTCATAATATAAATTTATGTTTTACTTGTAAACTTAAATTATTTAAGTACATTAACTAGATTAAAGATTTACTTTGTTCGTGGTTTCTGCCATTTACTTCTACATCGATGCTCATGTATTTCGATCTTTTTCTTAATAAAATTCTGATGATGTTCAACTTATTTAGTACACAACAAAACAAAACAAAATCTCCACTATTGCTGTTTGGCATATGAGCTCTCTGATCAGCTAATCTATTTATTTCCTTTTTTGTTAATCAAACTTGTAGTGATAGATCATTAAATTATTCAATTCATTTTTTCATACGTCTGTTTGTATTTGTGTGTTTGTATATATATATATATATATATATATTGAATATGTAAACTCTCCTCTATACTTATTTTATAAAGAAAATATTAATACACTTCATAGTTTCTCTTTTATTTGCCAGATTTTGCAACAAGACACTTATTACATGTACAATTGCCTCAGTTAACTAACATTTTTACTATCTCATTTTTTTTCCTTCTAGCAAAGTTATTATGAAATGAAAAAAATTAAGGTTTTCTACTTACATATACATAATGGAATAATAATAGAAATACTAATAACAACAATAAAGTCTCAAGTTTCAGGCGTGTGTTGGGTTTCTACTAAGGATGTGGAGTTACTACACTGACCTCTGGGGACAGCAAATGCGACCCAAC